TCAGACCCCAGTGCCCAAATAGTCTGAGGCAAGGGATTGCTTTGGACTGCCACTGCCAGAGGCGGTCTGTTAACATCCCCTGTTGTCCTGGTTTCTGCTGTTTGAGTTTCAGGCTTGGAAACGGGGCGTTCCTGGCTTAGTGATTCATACAGAACTGTTATCCTTTGAACCAGAGTTACTGCTAACAGCTGAGCAGTTATGTCTCTTGTTTGACATTTGAGTCCAAATACTTAATTGTTTTCTTGACTAAGAGCCATCTCCTATGTATCATCTTAAGCTGCATTAGCATTAAGTAGGGCCTTGAGAAGGGATTTGACCCCTGCAGAGCAAGTGGGTCAAAACATCTTTGTTGACATAGTGCTAGCATTCACACTGACAGCTGTGGGAGAGACAGAATTACAGCAGATGCAGGATTTAGCAGGGGGAGGGGGAGAAGAATGCTTTCTTCTCTGAGCTGGTGTGGTACAGAGCGTTGCATCTGAACCAGGGGTGCCCAGGTTCATATCCTGTTCAGCCTTGAAGGTGACGTTAAGACAGTCCAACTTTGGTTGCTGCTTCCAGACGGGGTGCAAAAATGCACCTCCGCTATGGCGGCAGCAACAAATGGCGGGACAGTGGGTGGCAACAGCGTCCACCCTGCCCTGCCCATGTCTCTCCCCATCTTGCTCACTGGCACTGCTGCCCCCTCCCTTTTCCTCTGTTGTGTCGCCACAGAAGCACAGATGTGACCGAGATTACATCGCGCGGCCCCCCCCACTGGCAACCCACTTTCCCCTCCTTTTCCCAGCTGAGCTGTGCTTTAGGAAAATTAAAAAAGCCAGTTGAAGGGGGGGGGGGAATGCAGAGCTTAGGTCAGCTCCCTTTCTATAGTGGCTGCTGGTGGAGTGTCCTAATAGACATTCCACCCACATCTCTCTTACAATTTCCCAAGCTGGATCAAAGGAGATTTTTTTCTTGGAACTGATGTAAAGAAAAAAGCCCCCTTGGAGGCCCATGGGTCGTGCTCAGAATATGATATTGTGTGGTTGTTCTCATTTAAATTGGGGGCTTCCTGTGTTCCGGGGGGGGGGGGGAATACTATTGTGGAAGCAACCTTACAGAACTGCTGTGAAGCTCAAGGAGAAAACCACCATCTTAGTGGAGCATTTTCTCATGCTGCAGCCAGAAAGGTTTTGTTAACCTGTTCTGGAATGTTTACATTATTGCTACAGATCTTTAACCACAAGTCCAGGCCAGCCCGATCTTGTCAGATCTTGAAGCTAAGCAAAATTGGCCCTGTTAGTAATTGGATGGGAGACCACCAAGGAGTCCCAGAGTTGCTAAACAAATGCAGGCAATGGCAAACCACCTCTAAACACCTAGCCTTGAAAACCCTGCAGGTCGCCATAAGTTAGCTACAACTTGTGGGCAAAGAACAAAACAGACAAACAAAACCTTCCTGGAGTTTATTTAAATACATTGAAAACAGGCAGGGGAGGGAAGGCACCCTTGCATGGGGTAGCCCAATCTTTTTAGCCCTTGGAAGCTAAGTAGGGTTGGTACTTGGATAAGGGACTATCAAGGAAGACTGTAGAGGAAGGCAATGGCAAACCATCTCTGCTTCTCACTTGCCTTGAAAGCCCCTTGTTGGGGTCACAGCAACTTGAAAGCACTCACAAACAGGCAGGTTACAGCAGAGTACCTCCAGTATACAATAGGTAGAGGAGCCTTCCATTGTATATAGTAGGAGAGGAGTTGGGTTGCAACAAGGAAGAGGGTGTCAAATAGTTAACACAATCTCAGGCTTAAACAGAGGCTCTCTCTATTTAACCTAAAGCAGCTTTTGTTCTTTGTTTTGCTTTCTGGCCTCTGGTGACTAATTGATTTGTTATGCTCCCAGGCCGCTAGCCGTTATCTAATTGCCATCATCAGCTTTTCATTAAATTGCAGAGATTGAATTCTGTCTTAGGGTGAAGGGTGAAAAGTCTCTTAGATTGTTGGTCTGTTGTTGAAGGACCCCAGGCAGAGATGCAGGCAGGGCTGTTCTTCGTCTGCTATAAACTGACTTTCCTGCAGAATTTGATGCAGAAACTGGATTTAAAAAATGTTTGCCTTGCAAGTGATTTTAGCCCTCTATTTGATTGATGTGAGATCTGTTCAAAGAGCAACAAAAGTGATTGCTTTGTGTTCTTGTGGTACCCTCTCATTATGAATCTCATTTATGTTTCAGTGAATAACATAAAACCGCCTGTGTTCTTGGATTTACAGACTGTTTTAAATAGGATCACTATCAACTCAGGGTTAATGAGATTTTTCTGGCGGACTTGGGGTGGAATATTGTGGGCCTTAGAGGACCTGTATCATTTTGATGAGATTTTGAGCCCCCCCTTCTCAGTTGTAATGTCTCAATTAACAGTACATATATAATGAACTTGTAAAGTTGCACTGCATCCTGGGCATGTGACACATGCCTATTTCCAAACTGGTGATGAATGTATGTGCATGTGTGCAGAATTTCCCTTTCAAGTGTCACCTGTCTGTAATTATAAACTATTTAAAAAAATAAGTTGTAACTTTTTGAGAGGCAGATAGTGTGCTACAATAAAACATCTAGCATGTTTACTGTTTGTTCTGACGTGTGGCAAAGTCAGATTGCAAGTGAATGTTTCCAGAATTATCCTAATAATAATAATAATTATTGTATGGCAGTGTGTGTAGTATAGCCAGGAGATCCTAAGATTGTCTGGTAGCTAGACGTTCTGGCACCACTAGGTGGTGAGCTAGACTTGTTTTTAAGGCAAGAAACATTTCAGAGGTGGTTTGCCATTGCCCGCCTCTGCGTCATGCCCCAGGTATTCCTTGGAGGTCGCCCATCCAAATACTAGCCAGGGTGGACCCTGCTTAGCTTCCGAGATCTGACGCGATCGGGCTAGCCCGGTCTATCCAGGTTAGGGCTTTCTATAATAGTCAAAATGCAAGAGTATCGTAATACATATGTCGCATCTATACAGCATTTTCAGCGTTCGAAACAAATTGTCTTGTATTCTTACAACAACCTTGTAAGGTTGGTCAATATTATTATCCTTACAAGTGGAAGGTTAGCTAAGGCCAACTAGTGAGTTCATGGCAGAGTCGAAATCTGAACTGGGCACCTTCCACATCGTTCCTTAGTTTCTTAACTACTATGCCCAGCTGGCTCATCTCTGACACAGAGGGAAAGTTTATCTGAAGCTGTTTGCAGAATGTAGTTTCCACTTCCTCATGGGGCAGTGCTTTGTCAATAAACTAATTAGTAGCATCCTGCAGTGTAAAGAATACATCTTCCACTCAGTGGAAGACATCTTCCACTCAGGATAGGTGATTCCCGTGCATAAATTAATTACTATATGCAAATGAACAATACTTGGAGGGATTTCCCCCCCTAAGAAGGGTGCCTCCCCAAAATTAATTTTTTAACAATGCAGTCCTAAGAGTTATGCCCTTCTAAACCTATTGACTTTTATGGTCCTAGAAGGATGTAACTGTGGCTGTGGTCACACACACTAAATAATCCACTTTCAATCCACTTTCCAACTGGATTTTGCAAGTTCACACAGGTTTTGCGCATGCGTTTTAGCTTTAGTTCGGTGAATGAAAGGGAACCAAAAGGATCGCAGCCTCTGTTTAGGATTGCACTGTAGAATGTTCTTTCATTTTCTTCACCCATTCACTTTTAATTCAAGCTTATGCATTAGGCTCCAAGTATATAAAGTAAAGGTAAAGGTTCCCTTGCTCGAAAGCCAGTCGAGTCCGACTCTAGGGTTGCGGTGCTCATCTCCGTTTCAAAGCCGAAGAGCCAGTGCTGTCCGAATACGTTTCTGTGGTCATGTGGCCGACATGACTAAACACCAAGGTGCACGGAACGCTGTTACCTTCCCACCGAAGTGGTACCTATTTATCAACTTGCAATTTCTTGCTTTTGAACTGCTAGGTTGGCAGGAGCTGGAACTAGAGACGGGAACTCACTCCGTCATGTGGCAACTCGGGTCTCGAACTCCTGAACTACTGACCTTCCACAGCCTGCAGTTCAGCGTCTTAACCACTTGAGCCACCGCAGCTCCATATATAGACAGTATTTAATTAACAGTCTATATATAATTCGGTTCTTCTTCCCAGCAAGCAGGGGCAGTCCTTACCCACTGCAGTAATAGTTCTCTCATTAGCAGAGATTACCCTGACTGGAAGGGAGAATTTGATCAACAGTTTATAATGCAAATTAAATATATATCATTGCCCCAGTCAGTAAAAAACAGTATAAATATAATCATTTCACGTTGCTGTTGAGAGATCTGCAAGCTCTGGTGGACCTCTGCAGAAGGGTGCCTTTTTTGCCACTGTAAGCCCTAGAAACTGTAGTCACTGTACAGGCTGGCTTTTGGAGACGGAAGTACAAATTCTTGGAAGAAGACGGACTAGCTGGCAGCCACCACAATGATGAGTTGTTTCCACGGCTGTGGGGGACCAAGTGAAATAAAGATGGCAATAGTGTAAGAATGCAAGGGTAGCAGTTGAAAGAGCTGGATCGGGCCTGACTCCTGGGACTACTCAAGGGGTTTAAGGAGGCTGTTGCGGTTACAGGGAAGTGAGTCAAGGAGGCCCAAGCACCAGTGACCGAGACAATCCGCAAGCCAGATTTCTCAGGCCAAGTAATCTACTTTCAGCAGCCAGCCAAAGGGAGGGGACGGGATGGAAACTACAAGTCTGGGGCAACACTACAAGATGGGGGTGAAACTACTTGAGCAGAAGAGTCTGGCTTTAAATCCACCAGTAAACATTTCTGTACTGCAGCTGCTGCACTGCTTTCAGCTCTTGAACCAGCAAATCTGCTCGTAGCCATCTGTTGTGTTTTCTATTAATGCTAGCAAAGCTCCCACAGGGAAGCTGTTTTGTTTGGTTCATGTCCTTGCAGTGCACAACCAGATGTGGATCTGAGATTGTTTTATTAGGTCTTTATTAGGTGTTGACTTCTTTCCCTTTTTTAGATTTTTGACTCTTGGAGGGGAAAGCATTACCATGAAACGGGAACAGGAACTCTTCCCTCTTCTGCTGCTGTTGGGAGCAATTGCCACTTTCCAGTGCCAGGTAAGGCTTTGCCAACATGCCAGGGTTTTTTTTGCTGTGGTTTCTCTGTCCTTCTGCTGCCAGATACCTTGGCATACCAGAAGGAAAATGCTCTTTGCCTGCAGAGTTGGTTTTCCCCAAGCAGTAGACTGGGATGAGACATTTTTGCTGGGAACCCCCTATTAGTTGTTTTGTCTGATTCTGGCCTTATGACTTGAATTAGTGAGTGAGTGGCCCCGGTCACATGGGAGGCTTTGATCCGCGAGAGGGACGGATCGGGGGTGCATCAAGTGGGCGCGATCACACCGCAACATCTGGGAAGTGGAGCGCACCCGTCCCCGATCCATCTCTTCTGGCCGAAGATGCGGATCAAACCCCCCCCCCTACAAAACACTACTAGTTACCTGAAAATCCGCAACAGGGGCAGCCGTGTGATCGCCGGCGCGCCTGTCTCCGGCAGCATGCGAGGCCCCTGGCCAAACTGCGCAGGTGCGCACATGCGCAGCGGGGTGCCTCGCTCACTGATCTGTGGCTTCCCCCCGGCATCTGATCATGCCGGGGAGCAACTGCACAGCGGTTAGGGGGATCTGTCTCATCCTGCCGCTGCACTTCTCTTTTGATGCGGCTCAAAAAAGCCACACTTCAGCCGCACCTTTTCCCCCAGTGTGACCAGGGCCAAAGCTAACCTATTCAAAAGGGCATTTGTCTGCTGCCTCGTTCTGTAATTTTGGCCCATACTGCAGATTTTCAGAGCAGTCTTTAATCTTGACTTCGGGTTCTGTACCCACCTTATGCACCATTCTTTTTTCTCTGGTGTATTTATTCTGCAGCTATGATTTTTAAAAATGCACTTTTCTAAATTGGGTGGAACATCACTTGTGACGTCTGGGGGATGGTGTCCAAAGGGTTTTTTTTTTAATTATGCAGTTGCCCTATCGCAGCTGCACAGTAGCATCCAACAAGCGCCTTCCATTTAAATCCTAGTGGTTCATGTTTTGTACATGCATTTTAGTTTTAGTTCCTGAATGAAAGGGAACCAAAAGGAACACAGGCAAAGGGGGAAAACCTATGTTGACAAGACTTTTTTTGAAACTGACAGGCAGCTGTGAGGCCCGTTTTCCATATTACTGAACACTAGGGGATTCTTTGCTATGTTACCAGCCACTGTGAAAATTGGGAAAGAGGTACACAATCTTATTATATGGGGGAATGTGTTGAGTGTACAGAATGCACAGTAGAACCCACGGACAGTGGCATTGCAAGCTGTGATCATTGGCAACGTGTGTGTATGTGCACACCTGTGCAAAGTTGGCTGCAACTCTACCACACTTTGCACAGGGCTGCAGTTTGTATGGGGGAGGAGTCCTCTGGCAGAAGCTCTGGAGAGCTTTTTTAGTCTTGTGCTTCTAAATTGGAAAATAATGGGGGAGTATTTTTGCCAATGCCCTAGTGCAGCTGCATAGTAACACTACTTTCCTGCCCTTGCAAATTTGCTTGGTTTTCTGTTTGAGATTCTCTAATTTGAACCTGCACATTGGTTGTGATTTTGGCAGTCTTTTTAGAGCCTGTCCCGTGCGGATTGCACTCTTCCTCCAAAGGGATTGATCCCAAACAATTCTTAATTTCGGTGTTTTACAGAAAGTCCATGTGGCTCAAACACCATTTTAATATTAGGCTTCCAGAGACTGGCAAAATGCCCCCCAACTTTGTTCACTAAAGCATTAAAAGGAAAAATGTTTTCAAAGCTTTAGGCTTCCCATCCCAGTGTCTTTACATCTCATGTCAATTTCATTCTGTGCTGACCGCCCCCCCCCCCGATTTATTTTGTTTGCACGCAGCACTGAATTATTATTATTATTGCACTGGAGATGCTGCCATTTGCCTCCTCCCCAATCCCCCTTTCAAGTCAATACCAGCAGGGAACTAAATCTCATGCAGCTCCTTTTAAACTTTCCCGTTTTCATTTTTTTAATTCAGCGATCCGAGACTAGTGATAAATCTCATATTGCTAGACTCCTGCGGCTTGTAAAAAAATAAAAAATAAGGGGGAAATGGAATTTGTACACTGATGAAGGGGGGAGGATGGCAGAAGGTGCAGAGTGTGCAGTGTTCCGTCTAACGCTGAGTCAGAAGTCAACAGCATCGTCTGGACGTGATTCAACACATGGCCAGAGTGAAAGTAGAATTAAATCATTTTTATTATGCTGCACATGCATTCAGAAGAGTTGACCTTGATGTGGGTGGGGAGTGACCGAGGGGTGGCAAAAGGGCAGGGGGGAATCTGTACACTTTTGAATTACCTTCGACTTGGAAGCAAAACAAGGGGAAAATCGGCACAAAAGTACTCTCAGGAAACCTGGGGAAACAGTGACCAGAAAGTGAACTGAGCGCTGAAGGGAGGAAAATCAATGCAGAATGACAAGGGAAACCTGACGGAGATGCCCAGTGAAAGCGAGGGAAGATACCCGTGCGTAATAGGCCTTTGTTGTATTGATGACTAAGAATTTCCACAAAATTTTAAGACCTAGGAGGAAGCTTCTGCTTGAATGAAACATCCAAGGAACTTTAGGGGACACAGAAATGAGCAAAAGTTCTCCAGAGACCTTCGGTCATCCTTGACTTTTGTATCTACAGTACTGAGAGTTTTAACTCATGTCAGGCCTATAACAAGACCCTTTGTGTTCAGGGAGCCCAAAGGGTACACCAGTGGTGGTGCTGAACTCTGTGACAACCATAATTTAAATAGCTTGATATGTAAAATAAGATCCTAGACTTTGGCAACTATCCAGTGCCTTTGATTAGAACCCAAAAAGACAACAGCTTGTTTACAAGTTCTCAGTGAACAATTGCTTTGAAACCTGCCTCCATGATTTTCCCCCAATGAAAGGGGACTAGAAACTTAAAATGAAAAATGAAAATTCAGGGAAAGGCTCTGGAATATCACGGAGAGGATAAGCCTCCCTTATGGATACAGCTTTGACCAGGGCTATTTTTGGGCAGGAACGCACAGGAACGGAGTTCCAGCTGGCTCCCAAGTTGGCCACGCCCAGCAGGAACTCATTAGCATAATAGGCCACACCCAACAGCAGAAACTCATTAGGATTGACTACATTAGGGGTGTGTGGCCTAACATGCAAAGGAGTTCCTCCTACAAAGAAAGGCCCTGGGTTTTGACAACAAACAAGGTAAACAGAATAACAAGCAAAAGGTGAGTGTGGCTGGATGACCACACTTCTAGTAACATGTGGGTGCAGCCTAATGTGCTAATGAGCTGTGCTGTCAGGGGTGTGGCCCAATATGCTAATGAGTTCCTGCTGTTGGGTGTGGCCTATTATGCTAATGAGTTCCTGCTGGGCTTTTTCTACAAAAAGAGCCCTGACTGATTGTGATATAAACCACTTCGGATTAATTTTTAAAAGAGTTGTATACAAGCTGGTTTAATAAAAATGCAATTTGAGGCCCGTAAACTGCTCAAGTTCAGCTCTAGGCTGGCTGTGTATTGCACTCTGATGTTTCAGATCTATGCTGCAAGCTCCTCTAGAGCTTGGGAACTAGTGGTAGTCTGTAATTGACTTTTTATGGTGATGGTTTCCTTCTTTTTAAAAAATCTCATTCTCTCCCTGTAGGACTTTCCCGTGCGCATTAAAAGAGGTGCTCGATCAAGAGGTAAGGAGCAAAACGTACCACAGAGAGCCATGCAAGCTGAGCAGAGAGTCGTGCAAAAGGGACCCATCTGCTGCAGATGCAAAAGGAGACCCCATGCAGAGACTGCCCTGAGCTTGATCTAAGTGTAGTACATGCTCAGAACATCTACAGCTAAGTTCTGTGCCAGAGAGACATGAACTGTGTAAGGGACAGGCAGACGTATTGTGGGCAGGGCCAGCTGTATCTTGTTAATATGGGATACGGTCACAACTTGGGGGCTCATCCAAAAGGAAATTCTAGAGGCAGCCTCCTGACAAGGTCTGTTCTCTTGTAACAAGGCAGAACACTTGAAACTGATGGTTCCTGAATCATCTATTTACAAATGTATAAGCAGAGCACATTGAAAATAAGTAAGCTCTAAAAATTGGCAGCACAACAATCAGTCCTGCTGTAGATTTCCCAAAAAGCAGTCATCGCAGCCACATCTGCCCAGCTTGCATCCAAGATTCAGCTCTGCTAAATTTCCCAGCATTCCTTTTCTGTCTTCAGACTGTCTCACTAATCCTCCTGCTAGTTGATGTGTGTGACATTCCAAAGGCTGTAGATAGATGTTCTAGCCATTAAGATGTCAGGTTATACAAAACCACAGTGATAGGCCCCGTCACACTAATCAAGACAACTGAATTTAAGCACCAGATTTTGAACAGGTTTTTAGACTGATTAACATTTCTTAAATAGTTGTATAAAATACCATTTGTGTAACCAGAACCAATGGGTTGAAATGAAATCAAAGGCGTTTTCAGCTAAACATTAGGAAGAACTTCCTGACGGAGCGGTTCCTCAGTGGAACAGGCTCCCTCAGGAGGTGGTGGGCTCTCCTTCTTTGGAGGTTTTTAAACAGAGGCTAGATGGCTATCTGACAGCAATGCTGATTCTGTGAACTTAGGCATTTTATGAGAAGGGAGGGCAGGAAGGGTTGCATCAGTGCTTAGTTCTCATGGCCCTGTCTTACTCACCCAGGGAAATGCCAATCATCACTTTGGAGTCAGGAAGCCATTTTCTCCAGGCCAATTTGGCCAGAGATCCTGGAGGTTTTTTGCCATCCTCTGGGCATGGAGCAAGGGTCACTGTGTGTGTGGGGGGGAAGTATTTGTGAATTTCCTGCATAGTGCAGGGGGTTGGACTAGATGACCCTGAAGGTCCCTTCCAACTCTTAACATATTATGTGGACAAATGTACATAGTGGAGAGGATGGTAAAAGTGGGCAACAGTACTGAGAGTTAAGTCTTACCATTCCACATGCTCAGCTCACCCCTGCCATAGGAAAACAGAAGCATGCATGCAGAATTTTGCATTTCTAGTATAGAGAAAAATAGTATGCTTGCAGACCCACAATAGATCAAAAACTGCCTCCTCAGTTGTTTCAGCTTGGGGAAAATGGTGCAGGGAGGAAGACTGGAATCCCTCCTCGCCTGGTTCTGTGGTTCCAATCTGAATCAGGCCCTGCAGTGCTTGAGCAGGTAAATTCCCCACAGCTGCCATGGGTCGGTGCGGAAAATGACTCAGCTCATGGGAACTCTGACCTGGTTCATGGACAAACATATTTGTGTAGTTTAGCTCTAACTGTCTGTGTTGAGTGGTGACAAGAATCCACAAAGATAAGCTTGGGGTGTTTTTGGCTGCTTGAGTAGTCGTCCTGTAAGTGTGTGTTCTTTGTGTGGATGTGCATCCCTGTATCTGAGTCTTCCACTCTTCTCGGGACCCTAACAGTGCAATCCTGAGCAGAGTTAGGTCCTTCTGAGTTCACTGACGTCAATGAACTTAAAAGGGTGTAACACTGTTAAGGGTTTTACTGTAAGACCACTAGAAGAACTTCTCCTGTCCAGTCTTTTTCTAGCTTCTCTGATTTGAATTTCATTCTTTTCTGTGGGGTAATGAGAACTGGAAACTTGCTTGTTAGAATACTATGATCTTAGCAGGATGCAAAATTTTGTGCTTGCATGACAATTCTGTGTGTGTCCAAATTAAGAACACATATTTGAATATTATTTTTGGATATTTCCTCTAAGGGTAATCTGACAAAACCTGTGAATCCTGCCAAGAATTTAGAAGAGAAGGAAGGCGTTTCCCTTCCCTCTGAACAGTACAAGTAGCCCTGGAGGGACTACAAATCTGTTTACACCCCACATACAATAGAGAGAGGAAAAAGCAAGACAAAGAAAGAGGGGGCCACATGGGAGGCACAGATTGTTGAGAAGGAAAGGGGGAGGGTGAAAATGGATTGCAGGGTCTGTCTTCTCATGAGGTGTTCCTGTTTCTTGACTGCAGCCATATGTAGAGACCCATCAACCCAACGGGTTTACCAGCAAAGGGAAAGCTGGCTACGTCGCGCCAACAGCAGAGTTGAATATTGTCGGTGTGAGAGTGGCCGCAGCCGCTGCCATGCAGTGCCTGTCAAAGGTAGGTTTGGACTGTGCATGAGACAGAAATTGGAATAAACTGAGACTGGTTGGAGAAAGAGGTGGTGTAAGGGTGAGAAACTGGCATGGCTTCATTTCAAAGACTCCTGGGAAATGCAGAGAGAAGGCGGACAAGCATTCCAATGTGTACTGAAAAATAGTTTCAGCAAAGATTCCTTCCACACAGACATTTCTCTTTGAATTTGCTTTCAAGCTAGAGTGCTGCTTAGGAGAGGCATCCACATGACATCGGCCTCTAATCACCCCCTTTCCAGGTTTTCCCTGTCCTTGGAATGCTCTTTTCTCAAAATGGTTTACTATGATGCTTTCTGAAAGAATACACTCAAAGGGCATTTGCATGCCATCTGAATGGGAAGGTGCACACTTTCAAAGGTCCTGCCCACATCAGCACCATTTTCCTTCCATGAGCTCCTTACAGTTGCCATTTTCTCCTTCATGACACTGATGAGCTTCTTTTTTAAAAATGAGGAATTGGTATAGCACTATAGCCCCTGTTTCTTGAAATGGCACTATCAGTATATATTCCACAGAGGTAGCCGTGGGAGTTTGTCACAGCAAAAACAGCAGGGCCCTGTGTAACTTTGAAGCCTATCGGGTTTATTGTGACACAAAAGGATCTGCCACAATAATTTTTAGAGGTGACACAAGACTCTGTCTCATCAGTATGAAGAGCCAGCATGGTATAGTCGTTAGAGAGCGAGATTACAGTATGATAGACCTGGGTTTGAATCCTTACTCTGCCGTGGAAACTCACTGGGTGGCCTTGGGCCAGTCATACACTCTCTGCTCAACCTACCTCACAGGGTGGTTGTTGTAGGGTTCAAATGGGGGAGGGGGAAATGGTGTTGTACGCCCCTTTGGCTCTCTAGGAGGAAGAAAAGCAAGACATAAACTCTCTTAAACCACCACTTATGTTTAAGTCAGACAAAAGAAGTTCTGTCCCATGGAGTTTACAGTCCTAATTCCGACAGGAGGGGAGGCAATGACCAGTCCAAGAGCAAGGATCAGAAGGATGCAGAAGAGCCATAAGCAATGTTCCCTCTAAGCTGTGGAGTCTTGTGAGCAAAAATTCTGCTTTGTGAGCTACTGGCATTAAAGTTGTGAGCGAGCAGTTTGGTTTCTGCATAAATCAGTTTGCTCTGGTGTCCTCCTTCCTGAGCTAAGACAAAAATGCGTGAGCTGGAGGCTAAAAAACTGTGAGCTAGCTCACACCAACTCAGCTTAGAGGGAACACTGGCCATAAGGTATTCTTAGGCTTTGTTCCCCTTGAGGATGAGGCCTCAGCCGGTTTACGTCTGCAGCAGAAATATGGCAGGAGAACCTAAACTACTATGGAAGGAGGAAACTGAGAATCTCCCATGTTTTTTGTTTTTCTGCCAGCCTGCGCACAGCAGCAGTGCTACAACAGAGGCATCTGCCAGCAAGCATTGTACTCCCCCGGCCACTTCGTCTGCTCATGCCTCCCGGGCTTCTCTGGGAAGCAGTGTGAGATTGGTAAGTATGCCATCCTGGAAAATGATGAATGAGTGCTATATAAGGAGGAGGACTAAACTGAGTTTAGTGTTACGCGGTGGATCCTTGGCTGAATTTGGTCACCTCTCATTATTCTGTAGTGAATGCAGATGCTGCTGGGCTACAGCTAGAGAAGGTGTACAGTATGATATGTACAGGGCAGGACTGGGGAGGTGTTCCTGGCTTTTTAAAGCAGTTTTGAAATCTGTACTAAGAAAAGTGACCTTGATAAACTCTGTGCAGTGAAGAAGCTTGGCATATCTCTGCCTAGTTCTCATGGCTGCTTCTACTACGTAGCTGGGGGAAACACACAGGGAATCTGAGCTGCCATGGAAGAAGGAAAGTAAGAATCTCCGTTCTTAGGCTTTGTGTCACAACCTGTACTGTACTCAGTCCCCCCCCCGAAACCTCTCCACTCCCCACCCCCCTGCTCGTCTTGAGACTTCACCAGATATTGGCCACATGCCTTAAAGAGTATCATCCTCCTAGTAAAAGATTCACTTTATTTTTGAAAACAAATTCTTAGGACGTTGAATTCTACACCGGATACCAGATTCTTTTCCTACCTGGTGCAGTCCCAGATGCAGTGCAACCCTAAGGTTGTGTTGTTTTGTGCAAGCCTTGATTCCACTTGCACTGTGTTGCAGGGGTGGTCCTGTTCTGTGGAGCATCTTCCTCCAGCCCTGGGAACCTTTGTGCCTCTTTCAGTGAACCAAAATGCACATGGTGCGAGAGGGAAGTGCCGTGCAGTGAAGGACAGCCCAAGACGAAGAGGGGTTCAAACAGAAGCAAGGCTTAGGATCAGGCTCACGTTTATTATGATTAAAACGTTTTTCAGAAATCTGGTTTGCATGGTTATGAAATTCAGCAGGTGTAGCATTTCCTCCAAAGAAAAACAAGGCAGCTGGACAAGGGTTGCAGAAGCCCCCTTAGTCACCAGACGGGGCACCATTGCTGTGCCTTACCCAGTTTCGAGTGCATTGCTCTGGATCTTAATCTCGGTATTCTTGCTGCCAACAGATCACTTTTTGCTTTCCTCCCTCCCCCTTTTCTTTACTCAGTGCCTGAATCCTTCTGCAGTCTGCAGATCCTTAGCTTTGCTATCTGCAGAAATCAGGAAGTTGAAAATAGGTCAGTGGGGTGCAAAGGGCATGGGTTGCAGAAATTATTCTGACTGTAGGTAGTATGGTGGCTTTCTGCCCATGGAAGTCAGAAGTCATCTTGGTGCAGATTTGCACTGTGGTGGCATAGAATACCCTGTGTTCTCTGGAAATTAGCTCCAATAGAGACCTTCTCATCTCACACTATCCTTCTCTCCAGACATTTTGTAACATCAGCCTGCCATTTCTTCCAAAGTGCTTGGGATGGGGTACATGGTGATTTTCCTATTTTATCCCCACAAGAACCCAAAAATACCGGAAAATTGACAGAACCAAGATCAGCCACTAAATGTAATGGCTGGGACAGGATTTAAACCTGGATCTCCCTACTTTAAGTCCCGCCTACCCAGCACTGTATTTCATAACAACATTTGGTGTTTTGTATCACATTTTAGAGTGCTCAAAGTGCTTTTTAGTAACCTTTACAGCATCTTGATAAGGTAGGCTAGGGTTATTATTCCTATACTGCAGATTAGTTAGGGGCACGAAGCCTTGCTTGTGAACGCCCTAGTGAGAGTTTCCTGCTTTCACTGCTCAGTGTGAGAGCTAGGCTGGCTGTACTGTGTGACACCGCCCACCAAGGGAGGATAGAAGGGAAGCAAGACTTGGCATAAGCAAGTCATTATGGGCTATGAATGTATCTCCTGCTTCTATGAGATAATTGGGTGTAAGTTTCATTCTAGCCCCATGCAGACCCCAGCAGCGATGGCTCATCCAGTCTCCTATTCTAATTTCATTATTCCTGATGTGCCAGTGCAGAGCTGACTCATGAGCAGATGCATTTGCAGAAACGCCCTTTGTCGTTAGGTCTCTGCTACATGGAACTCACGACAGCCAAATGGACTAACATGGGTGATTTTTTTTCTTCTTATCTGGTACAGATGCTGAAGCCACGTGTTACGATGATGCCGGAGTGACGTACAGGGGAACGTGGAGCACAACTGAAAGCGGAACCGAGTGCTTGAACTGGAACATTAGTGCCTTGGCGCAGAAGCGGTACAACGGGCGCCGGGTGGATGCCATGCAGCTGGGGCTTGGCAATCACAACTACTGCCGGTGAGAGGATGGACTCGGGCTGGTCTGCAGTCCTTACCTGGCAAATATTCCATTCCTCTTTCACAGATACACCTGTCCCCAAATTGGAAATTGAGAGGGGGCAAAAGCTGCAGTTATCCAAGACAAGTGTACATATAGGTCTATATGGATATTTGTTCGGTTGTATAGATTTTGGCTTTTGTGAGGCTGCAGGGTTTTGTTTTGTTTTAAATTCTGGATTTCCCTCTTTGTTGATGGCGCTAAACAGTGTTTTCATACTTTCTCTCTCTCTAGAAATCCAGATGGGGACTCCAAACCCTGGTGCCATGTTTTCAAAGCAGGATCGTATTCCTGGGAATTTTGCAGCATCTCTTCCTGCTCCGAGGGTAAGTGCACAGCTCCTTCTGAAGGGAAGGTGAAGATTATGCCTTGAAAATGGCATGTGGGGCAAGATAGTGGGCAGATCAGCTTCTGGTCTCTGGCTGTCCAGGCTTTCACTTCCAAGGGAAATAAGTGATTGCTGCTAGTGGTTCCCTTTACTGTAAGGTTGCAGGGGAGGTTTTGGGCTGCAGTTGGTCAGAGGTGAGGGAAATGCTTTTGCTCATGCCCAGAGACATTTTTCTTCAAGCACTCCAGGATTAAAACCAAAACCAAACACTGTATCTGGTATGTATGAAGACTTTGGCAGGACATCATCACTGCTGTTGATCCATTTTAAATACATATCTAACTAATGCTGAGTCTAATCTTGTACTTCCGCTCTTCTTTGATAGCGCTGGTGTGTCCACGATGCTTTACAGAGTTTTGTAAACATGTAGACAGGTCCTTTCCCCAAGGATCTTATAATCTGATGCCGATGGTGAAGGAGACAACAGAGGGAAGGAGGGAGAGGCTGAATGTTTAATTCTGTATCATTCATTCTCATGATGACTGGCTATTTCCAATTAAACTTACCATTTCCTCCCCCCCTCGCTTTTCTCACAGGAAACGATAACTGTGTTTCTGGAAGGGGCACCGATTACCGAGGCAGTCACAGCCACACGGAATCTGGTGCCACTTGCCTGAGATGGGACTCCAAAATCCTTACTAACAAGCTCTACACAGCCTGGAAGACTGATGCACAACAGCTAGGCCTTGGCAGCCACAACTACTGCCGGTAAATGGAGTCCTTGCTTTCTGTCTGTAGAGGGCCCATTGAATGACCATTGAGTAGCCAACTGGGAGGTTTCCAGAGGGGTGTCCAGAGACCCAGCTATCCAAGCAAGCTCTTCTGCACAGTCTCCGAGAGCCAACATGATTGTGAAGTGCCTCACTGAGTTGGAGTTCAGAGAGCCCTGTGCCATTTCCTTCTCCCCTCTCAGGGTGGGTTAGGTAGCGCCCACTGTGGGGAGGAATGAGATTTTGGGTCATACAGAGGGCTGCTTCACATGATAGTCATAAATCTTCCAATAGACTGACATGCAGCAGGAAGCCACAACTGATCGGGAACTCTCGGTTGCATGGGCAGGTACCTGCCATGTTTTAGAAAGGTCCAAACAAGGCCTAATGCAGGAGATCCATAATTGGGATCCCCTGAAGGGGTGTGTGTGTGTGTGGGTTAACAATGAGCTGCCCAATGCAGCTGTTGTGAAGTCTGTGGATGTGGTGTGGGTGTCTGTGGGAGGAGGGGTTCTGACTCTTTCTTTTCATATAATTTCTCCAATATAAATGCATGCCACTAAATGGCGATTAATACATGGTCTGTCTGAACTTTTCTTCCCTGCCCAAGATAACTGCAGTTGTGGAGAGCATGTATTTGGGGAAAATTACACCAGAAGAAAGGGTTAAATCCCCCTTCCCCAGTCTTCAGAACAGCCCTGTGGGGCAGCTCATCAGTAATAATATTTTTTTTAAAAAAACCACTTGCAAAACATCCCAATTACTGAGCTCCCATTTTCTACTTATGTCCCAAGTGTGACCAATAATGTTTTTACTTAACCTGAACTTACTTAAAATGTCTCGCATGAAGTAGTAAATTCTTCAAGGCTGGCCTAGGGCCTCATGGCTAAAGTGGGTTTTTTTAACTGTACTCCACACTCAGGGTTGAAAGTAACTTAAACGTCTCACCAGTACTGTCAGTCTTCGGGTGCTTAAAGCAGAGAATGGGAGGTACCACTTCTGCCAGTTTGTTACTCGTACTCTGTACTGGGGCCCAAACCCAAACATATATGGTGAATACATGAAACTGCCTTCTAGTGACTCCAACCTTTGGTCCACCAGCATCAGTACTGTCTATTCAAATTGGTAGTGGCTCTCCAGAGACTTAGACAAAGGGGCTCTCACATAACCTCCTACACCTTTTAAATGGAGATGCCAGAGGCTGAACTTGGGACCTTCTACTTTCCAAGTAGTTGCTATACTACTAGGCCATGGCCCTTCCCATATAAGGTTGCCAGACTCCTGGTTGGGGTGGGGGTTCCCCTGATTTTGGGGGCTTCAATCTGCTGCTGGTCAGCTGGCTGACGGGGGAGCCCCACTCCCTGACAGACCCCTACCATGGCGTTGGCATGATAATATCACCCGGAAGTGACATTGTCACACAGGGCATGTCACACGTCGATGCTCTAGCAAAACGCTAGAGCATCGCTGTGTGACATGCCCTGTGTGACAGTGTCACTTCTGGGTGATGTCATCATTGCAGTGCATGTGCAAAGCGCAAGCCAGAAGATCCAAGCTTGGAGCCAGGAACCCCCTACCGTAAGCCCGGTAAGACCTGGCTACCCCGTTCCCATAAAAGACCACTCTTATATGTGGCACCTTGGGGAAGATTCAATCCTGACATATTCCTTTCTCTCTTTTGTGTATTGCAGGAATCCAGACAATGACACCAGACCATGGTGCCATATCCTGAAGGGCAGCAAGACACACTGGGAATTCTGCAATGTGCCAGCTTGCTGTAAGGAAATTCTGCTGTAGTGCCTTCCTTGCCCAGCCTGAGACATAGAACTGCTAGCTGGTTTCAATTAGGCCTGATGCTGTTGACACTAGAGCAACGGTGGAGTCTCTGGGACAGACCTAACATTAGTTTTATGCTGGTTTAATGATGACTTTTCCTCCCTAAGGAATCTTGGGAGGTTTGATGTTGCCGCCACCCACCCAAGAACTAGTTACCAGAGCTCCCCAGATTAAAGGAACCTCTGTTCAACCTGTTTGACTTTGTGGTGTAGATATCCTCTTCTTCTGCACAGGACTCTTCCCTGGCAATAATATTAACTTCAGGGAATGGCTTAATCATTGTGAGATTTCTTAATTTCTTTTTTTCACATCTACAGCCACCTGTGGATTGAGGAATCACAAAGAGGCCCAGTTCCGGATCAAAGGAGGCCTCTATTCAGACATCCAGTCACACCCATGGCAGGCAGCCATTTTTGTCCGGTACCGGAGAGTACGTGGACAACACTTTCTCTGTGGAAGGATCCTGATCAATTCCTTCTGGGTCCTCTCAGCGGCCCATTGTTTTGCCGACGGGTAAGAAACAAGTGTGCCTGATGCCATCGTCTCTGGATTTCCTGCTGTCTAGAAAGTCTCTTAGCAGCAGGGTGCATTCAACTGCAGTTTGCCGCCAGGATTTTATAGGCTGAAATGGAGTAGCACCCATAAGGCAACATGGGACAGTTGACCCAGTGCCCCTGGAGGTCTGATGTGGAGGAATGCCTTCCAGGGACTGTTGCTGTCCACGCCTGTTGAATTTGTAACCTCCCTGATGGAGCAGCAGCTGCTGATAGTGTGTCTGCAGCATCCTCCACCCTGCAGTGACTCTTGCCAGCACAGGGGGTGCTGTGGCTCCAGCCCTGGGTCCTCACAGCTGCAACAGCAGCTGGGCCCCATGACTGATGTGGGCGAAGCCTGGCAATACAGACTTGTGGTCCATCCAGAATCTTAATCCCAAGTCAGGGTCCTGAGAGCTAGTCAGGGCTGCCTGCAGGAGGGACACAACTGCTACCAAAACAGAAAGGTTTGATATTTTGCACAAGTTCATGAATCTACTTTATAATGAATCAGAACGCTGGTCAAGGTCAGTATTGTCTACTCAGACTGGCAGTGGCTCTCCAAGGTCTTGGGCAGAGGTCTTCCACTTCAACTACTAGCAGAACTTTGGATAGGCTGCATAAAAATCTCCCAACTGGCCCCACTGGTGGACCTCCTGATGGCACCTGGTATTTCTGGCCACTGTGTGACACAGAGTGTTGGACTGGATGGGCCTTTGGCCTGATCCAACATTGGCGTCTCTTATGTTCTTATATTCTTATATAAGACCTGATCCTTCTAACTGGAGCTGCCAGGGACTGGTCCTGGGGACCTTCTGCCTGCAAAGGAGATGCTCTACCACTGAGCCTTGGCCCCTCAGTTTGTTTTTACTATTAAATGTACTACAGTGGAAGTAGTTCGTTAAATTAGTATATTTTGTAAAGACTGCTTTGTTCTTCAGACTTTAACCCCCTTGTGGTTTCAAGAAACTTGAAATGATAATAGCATCCTGGTTTTTTTCCCTTCTTCTTTGGCAAGAGATTGTGTTTTCTAATAGCAACATAGGCAGCTGGTTGATGAGTCAGACCAGTCTAGGCTTCATGACTTCAAGCAAGGATCCTTTCCAGTCTGGCTAACTCGAGTTGCTAGAAATTAAACCTTGAACTTTCTTTATGCCACATATATGCACATTCAAATTCAGATACCTTTAATGACATAACTGGAAGGTTGCAGTCCTCCCCCCCCCCCCCCCCCCCAGGAATGCCCACCTGGCCCCAGCCCTTGGGCGTAGAACCACGATTCCTGAGAGACTGCTTCCTCTCCACCCCACCCATCCCGAATACCTGCCAGAAAGGACTTTGCTCCTACTGCTAGTATCCCTGGGGCCACATAAGTGAAGGAAGGGATGCACTGCCAGTAGCTAGAATCTCAGTGGCTGCGGGTTGGGTTGAGTGTTCCCTCTAAGCTGAGTTAGTGTGAGCTAGCTCAGTTTTTTAGCCTCTGGCTCACACATTGTTGTCTTAGCTCAGGAAGGATGGCTCCAGAGAAAACTAATTTATGCCGTAGCCAAATTGCTCACTCACAACTTTAATGCCGGTAGCTCACGAAGTAGAATTTTTGCTCAAAAGACTCCACAGCTTAGAGGAGCATTGGATGGGTTTTTAGGTGTTGGTATTGTTCTAATCTGTTGCTTCTTAGCCACCTTGGAGATCATTTGATCAAAAGATTATTTAATATCTTTAAAATAACTATCAGGATGTTTCTTGTGTCCCTTCTTTCCTCTCTCCAACCTCTGCATTGGCAAAGCATTCCAACTTTATTCCAAAGCTTAGAACAAGAATATGGAAGCAGAATAAGAATAGAACAAGAAAAACTATGTCAACACGTGCAAATGTGTTTCACTTGTACAGTTTATCCTAACTACAGAATTTGGTTTCCTAGTAGTAGTATATATCTCAGAGCCCAGAAATGCAGTTTTTCTAAGACACATAGTGCTTCTCAAATGAACAAAGTTTGAGTCCAGTGGTACCTCTAAGACCAACAAAGTTTTATTCTGGGTTATAAGCTTTTGTATGCATGCACACTTCTTCAGATACTGGAGATGTGTGCATGCACACGGAAGCTTATACCCAGAATAAAACTTTGTTGGTCTTAGAGGTGCCACTGGACTCAAATTTTGTTCTGTTGCTTCAAACCAACACGGCTACCCACCTGAATCTGCTTCTCATATGTTAATAATGAATGCAACAAAGTTCTGTAAGTCAGCCAGTATTATCTCTGAAGTGTGCACTTGGAAGGGGGAGGAGGAGGCTTGCTGAAAGCCACCCCGCTGTGTTTGTGGCCATGCTGAAAGTCGAAAAGCTTCCAGCTCACACTTTCACCCTCTGTACTATGTTAACTTGAGAAATCAAGGTTGTCAGTGGGTCTTTTAGTCCTTTATTAGATGATCAAGGAAAATGGAGTCTTCACTTTCAAAGGAAGAGTTATTGCACATGAAACTTGCTGACTACAGTGGAATAATCTTCCTTTCTGCAGGATCAATGACAATCGCCTCAAGGTTGTGTTGGGTAGGACTTCCCGTATGACCCCCGAAGAAAAGGAGCAACAGTTTGAAGTGGAGAAATCCATTAAGCATGAAAAATTTGATCCAATCACGTTTGACAACGATATCAGTAAGACTCATTCTTGCTTGCTTGTGGGAGGCAGATGCACTTGTGGGAGGCAGATGCAACATTTCCATCTTAATGCCTATGCACTCTCTCCCCCCCCCCAGTTCTGCTGAAGCTGAAGTCCAGCTCCGAAGAGTGTGCAAAAGAAACAGACACTGTTCGTGCTGCCTGCCTCCCAGAGCCTGGCCTGAAACTGCCTGACTGGACAGAGTGTGAGATCTCGGGCTACGGCAAGCACGAGGAATGTAAGAATGGCTGTGCTCCATATCCTCCCCTACAATAGCTGTGCTGTGGAAAAATTCTATACTCAACAGATGGAATCTCTTCATAGACCACTTCTGTGTTTTGAGTCGTCTGTCTCTCACTCTGCCATCCTTTACGGCAATCAGAATTTGCCATTTAAGGCAGCTGTCTCATGGCAGGACTGGAGGCCCTCTAGAATGGATTTTGTCCTTGCTAAAATTCAGGCCGCTTGGTTAGATGGAAGGCGATCAGCTGCCAGGTCTCGTCCCTTTTGCAGCTGGAGAAACAGCCTTGGTGATAGCAACTGCCTAAGCAAGCCTCTTTTCCTGATATCCATGAGCTGCATTCCTATCTGGTTACTTACTGTTTTGTACAACTGAGCTGCTGAGGCACCAGAAGGGCATCTGGCTTCCATTAGAGCAAGTCAGATCATCTGAGTCCTAAACCTTTGTCTCCAAGTACACTTCCCTGCTTCTTCTCAAACTTTCGTGTCTTGAGTTTCCAAACAAAATGAGGGGTGGGTATGGTTGTGAAGAGAAAAGTCATGAAACTTGAGGAGCCAGTTTGGTGTAGGGGTTAAGTGCGCAGACTCTTATCTGGGAGAACCGGGTTTGATTCTCCACTCCTCCATTTGCACCTGCTGGATGACCTTGGGCAAGCCATAGTTCTGTCAGAGCTGTTCTTTTAAAACAGCAGTTTCTGTCAGAGCTCTCTCAGCCCCACCTACCTCACAGGCTGTCTGTTGTGGGAAGGGGAAGGGAAAGGAGTTTGTAAGCCGCTCTGAGACTCCTTTGGGTAGTGAAGGGTGGGGTATAAGTCCAATCTCTTCTTCTTCACTACAGAAGGCACTTCATACACATGGTTTTTACTCATTTAGTATGGTCCCTCTCTCTCACCAGCTTCTCCCTACTACTCAGAACGTCTGAAGGAAGGTCATGTGAGGCTGTATCCGGACAGCCGCTGCACACCCCGGCAGCTCTCCAACAGGACCGTTACAGAGAACATGTTATGTGCAGGAGATACTAGGCAGCTGGATGATGCCTGCAAGGTAAACCCAGGTTCTAAGAGTATGAGAATTACTTAGCAGGATCTGACCAAAGGTAATCTAGTCAAGCACCTTGTTTCTAACAGCAGCCAACCAGGTGATTTCCCCAATGGGTCAAATAGCCCCACTTCCATCCTGGACCACTTCAGGTAGGGGCTCTGGGGCAAGTGATGCTCTGTAGACTTCTTGGTGCTGGGGGGGGGCAACAGTGGGAGGGCTTCTAATGTCCTGGCCCCACTGGTGGACCTCCTGATGGCACCTGGTATTTTTGGCCACTGTGTGACAGAGTGTTGGACTAGATGGGCCTTTGGCCTGATCCAACATTGGCGTCTCTTATGTTCTTATATTAGGTCAGGAAAAGAGCATGGGTGGGGGGATGAGGCTAAACCTATTTCCCCATGTTTGCTGTAGTCTTAATCTAAAAACACACAGACAGAAACTGAGCAGAACCCACATCTCACTGTTATACAGGGTGGGTACCCCAGGCCTAACCTGTGTACGCCATAATATGTGAATTGACCTGAATTGTAAGATCTGCCCACACATGGGCCTTTTCAGCAGTAGCCCATTCTTTGGAATGGTTTTAATGAAGGAGTCAGGAAATAACCTTCCCTTGCAACTTTTTTTTTGGGGGGGGGGGGGGGGAGAGAAAAAAAAACCCTCCCCTTGAACTTTTTTTTGTGGGGGGGGGGGGAGTTGCAAGGCAATGTTATTCTGAAGGGTTTTTGATAGACGATAATACGTCGAGTGTGGGATTGGACTGCAGGGCCTTTTCTAGTTTATGGTGGTTTATTTTGCATGCTGTCTGGTAGTTTGTTCTTTTAGTTGTAGTGGGTATAGTTCATTTGCCTACTAGCGATGGTGGAAAGTGCCATCAAGTTGCAGTTGACTAACAGCGGCCCCAGAGGGTTTTCAAAGCAAGAGACTTTCAGAGGTGGATTAATAGCTGCTAATTAAGCCGTCTGGAGCCCCTCTTTGGTGGGAAAGTGGTACAGAAATATTTTCATAAGTAAGGAACAGATCTGGAGTCCTATTGACGGAAAACAAACAGCCAAAATATGTGTTCTATTTTTCCCAGTCTGTGCATGTACTATTTTGGATTTCCCTCATTGGGCACCAAAATCTCACGAGCTGGTCTCGTTAAGGATTCCAAAGGGATTACTCTGGTCCGTCCGTCTCACTTCCTTGTTTTCCTTTCCTGCTGCAGGGTGATTCTGGGGGGCCTCTGGTTTGCCTGAAAGATGGCCACATGAACCTCATTGGCATCATCAGCTGGGGTGATGGCTGTGGGAAGAAAGACAAGCCTGGTGTGTACACGAATGTGGTTCGCTACCTGAGCTGGATTCAGGAGAACATGAAGCCCTGATTGGCATCCATAAGCCATGTTAAAGCCTCCCTCTTGTTCTCTGCTCTGGAATCTCCTTGTATCAGGGAGATGCGGTGGATGTCAAAACAAGAAGCTCTTTTCATGATCACCAGGACAGGCTGGCACATGACTGGCAGAAGAGGGGCATGTTTCAGTCTGTACCTTCCATACCTCTTCAGAGGTGATTAGTTTAGGTGCTTGGGTTGTGTATTTTTTTTCTGTGCCTGTTCACTGAGTCACAGGGATGCAGCTGGTACCAACAACACCCCTCCCCAGAAAGCAGAGATTGGCAGGAAAAGCATGTGCAGTGCTGCTGCAGACACGTGCAAGAGCATCTGGGAAATCTGGTGCCTGAACTGTGAACTTTGCGTACAGAGGAGCATGGACACAGTCTTTGGGTGACTGGCTTACATCCTGCAGCACTCCCATTCCTGTCTGAAGTTACAATGGTGCCAGCTCCAGAATGAGGGTGGGAGGGTCTTGAGCAAAGGCTCAGTGGGAATGCTTAATTCCCCCCCCCCCCTAATAACCTTCTTGGGCATTCCTTGATAAGTGACAATAGTGGTGCTGTTTTGGGGTGGTGGGTGCTTTGCAAGTCTTGCAGCCCCTAGCCCATGCCTGACCTTGTCATCCTTTCAAGCCGGCATTGTTCCCAAGAAAAGAAGTGAGCATTTGGAATAGAGGGTCCTGCTGTCACTACAAGAGACAACTGGCTAAACAGAACTCAAGTGGAAATGGCTGTCGGGAAGGAGGTTTTTGTTCCTGTCGGAGATTCAGATGGTGTCACAGTTCAGCCAGACTTCTATCCCAACTTTTCTTGAACTTTGACGTTTCCTTCCAGACAAAATTTGAAGGATTATTTTTATACTCTGTGTGTATTTAAACCTTCCTGCTATGTGCTTGAATAGCAGAGGTGTTTTTTTTTAACTGTTGCACAGTGAGACTGGTAACTTTAAATTTTAGTCACTGGTGTGTCCCTCATGCATTAAACTGTTATTCTATTGGACTTTGTTATTTTGAATTAATCAGTGAGCAGTGCATGAATTCTTTTCAGACAAATCAAAGAATCTGTGAAATGGAAAAGAACATACAACTGAGTGGGAGTGGGTGGGTGGGTGAATCAAAGTGTGGGCCCAGCATTCTATTGCGGTGAAAGCACACAGTAATTCCAGTTGGGCTTGCACAGATGTTCCTACTGGGACTTCCCCAATTACTATGAAAGTTGGTGTGCCTAAATAAAGTATGGAGCATGAATTGATAGAATGGTGTGCTTCATAGCTTCAGCCCAGTAATTCACCAATGGTGGTAGAGGATATGTTGACGAGCTCTAGGAAAACTGCTAGCATGTAATGAGGAAATGAGAGGCTCCTGTATGCTCAGCCTTCAGCCAAGAGTGCCTGATACATGATTTACTGTTCTGGGCAAGCTGTCTTTTAGTCAGACTCTAGTGGGGGCAGCTAATGCTGTGTCTCTGCATCAATTGTGGTGGATCATTCAATTATGCTCTCGATCCAGGAAGTCGTAAGACTTACCTCCTCTCAGAAGAAGTTACCCTTTGCATCCCTGTACGAGCCAGTGCTGTATTTCCATCTCAGTTTGCCTGTTTTAGGGCCAAAGGTATGTTCACCTCAGTGATTTCTGCAGAAAGTGTTTTTGTGTGGGGGGGTGTCCTCTGAAGGCAGATAGGTATGTAAGAGTTAAAAGACAAAGTGCCATCAAGTTGTAATTAACTTATGGCTTTCAAGGCAAGTTAGAAGCAGAGGAGGTCCTCAATTGCCTTCCTCTGCAGAGCCTTCCTTTAGTGGTTTCCCATCCAACTACCAACCCTGCTTAGCGTTTAAGATCTGACAAGTTTGGGTTATACCATGCCACCTTCTTACTTCACTCTAATTGCCAGTCGTTTTGCTGCGAGAGTAAAGTGAGCTTTCAGTTTTTAATATGAAAAAGTTCATACAGTAGCTGGCAGATATTTTAGAAGTCCTCTTCAGTTTTAAGTATATTTTGCAGACTTTAGTCCTTTCTACCTTTTTCATGCTCCTTGGTCTATTTGCCCTTGGAGTATACAGTTCCCCTGCTCTCTTGCATTTATTTTCTGTTGTCTTAGTGAGTGGGACACTGTTCCACCATAGCTCTGATGGAATTCTTTTTCTTAAGAAGGTATTGAAAATGATCTCTTTGTTCTTTCGCTTCACAGTCCTCTTTGCCTCTTCTTAAGCCGCACTTGGTTTAAGAAGCCAACTTCCTTGTTGTGTTTAATTGGATTGCAAGAGCCCCAGCTGGTTTTGGATGGTTCCTGGTACATTGATAGCATCAAAGTTTGGTGTAGTGGTTAAGTGTGCGGAGTCTAATCTGGGAGAACTGGTTTTGATTCCCCACTCCTCCCATTTGCAGCTGCTGGATGACCTTGGGCAAGCCATAATTCTGTCAGAGCTATTTTCTCAAGGACAGTTCTGGAAAGAGCTCTCTCAGCCCCACCTGTTGTAGGGAGGGGAAGGGAAAGGAGTTTGTAAGCTGCTCTGAGACTCCGAGTGAAGGGTGGGATATAAATCCAGTTTCTTCTCTTCTTCTACATAATAGAGTCTATGAATAGTTAAAACCCTGTAAGTTCCTCCATTTGGTCAACACTTGAGGCACTGGTATTCAGAGGCTGACTGCCTTTGAATGTGGAAGCTCCCTTAGATTTGACTATCTCGTGTTTCCCTTTCCACTTCCGTTTAACTATTCCCCTCATTTTTGTAAAGTTCTCTTTTGAAAACAAACACTTGAGGCAGGGCCTGAATCCCAACCTTGAGAGCACTTGGGCTCTAGATTAAGGTCCGGTTCTTAATAATATTTCCATTTATATCACTACTTTTCTTCCATCAGGTTGCCTTATTTAAGAACATAAGAGTGCTGCTGGATTATACCAGTGGTCCCTCTAGTCCAACATCCTGTCTCATACAGTGGCCGACCAGTTCCTCTGGAGGTCCAACAACAGGTCACAGACAATGTTCCCTCTAAGCTGTGGAGTCCTGAGAGCAAAAATTCTACTTTGTGAGCTACTGGAATTAAAGTTGTGAGCAAGCAATTTGGCTACTGCATAAATTACTTTGCTCAGGAGCCATCCTTCCTGAGCTAAGACAAAAATGTGTGAGCTGGAGGCTAAAAACTGTGAGCTAGCTCACACTAACTCAGCTTAGAGGGAACACTGGTCACAGAGTCTGAGGCCTTCCCCCCTGATATTGCCTCCTGGCACTGGTATTCAGAGGCTGACTGCCTTTGAATGTGGAAGCTCCCTTAGTCACCATGGCTAGTAGCCACTGATAGACCTATTCTCTATTTAATCCCTTTTGAAAGCTGTCTATGCTTGTGACCATCCCTACATCCTCTGGCAGTGAATTCCATATTTTAATAACTCACCATGTAAATTAGTATTTCCTTTTGTCTGTCCTGAATCTACTGCCCGTCATCTTAATTGTATCCCCTCATGTTCTAGGAGAGGGTTATCTTTATCAACTCTCTTCATCCTTTCCTAATAATCCCCATCGTAGAGTTTGCCTTTTTCACTGCCGTGGCACACTGAGTTGATACTTTTGGTGACACTTTCATTGAGCTATCTACTACACCCCCAAGATCTTTTCCCCTCTCAGTCTCGGCAAGTTCAGCCTGTACTTGAACTTAAGATTTTGTGCTCTTCCTTTAGCAATTCCTATTCCTTTGTCATCCAAAGGCACAGTTAGTTCTCTTGCTGGTTCCTTCTCTGGATAAATTTAAAGAAATGTTTATTGTTGTCTTGATACTTTTAGCAACCCATTCGTCAAATTCTTTTCTCACATGCCTGATTATTAACTTACAGTCCTTTTGTCAGAGCCTGTGATCCGTTCTGTTCAATTCATTGGGACAGACCTTCCACTTTTTAAAAGAAGTCTCTTAACTTTTTATAGCTTCCTTGACTTAAGTTGGTAAACACACAGACATTCTTTTAGACTTGGTAATGCCTTTCCTAACCTGGGGAATGCATTCTATCTGGGATTCAATTAGTGTGGTTTTAAATAACTTCCAAGCATCCCCTCAAGATTTTACTATCTCGTGTTTCCCTTTCCACTTCCTTTTAACTATTCCCCTCATTTTTGTAAAGTTCTCTTTTGAAAACAAATATTACAGTTTTGGACTTCAGGGGTAACTTTCCATTGACATGAATGCTGATCTTATTAGCATTGTGGTCACTGTTCCCAGTTGGTGCAAAAACCTCTACATTTCTCACCAGGCCTTGAGCCTCGGATTGCCAACTCTGGGTTGGGAAATACCTGGAGGTTTTGGGGGTGGAGCCTGTGAAGGGAGGGGTTTGGGGAGGGGTAGAACCTCAGTGGGTTATAATGCCATCGAGTCCACTCTCCAAAGCAGCCATTTTCTCCAGGGGAACTGATCTGTCACCTGGAGAGAAGGTCTAATTCTGGAAGATCTCCAACCCCCACCTGGTAGTTGGTAACCCAAGTTGAGCTCCACTCAGAACCAAGTCAAGAGACCACTACCCTTCTGGTTGGCTCTGTGACCAACTGTTCCAGTGTGAAGTAATTTATGATGTCTAGGAATCTAATTTCTACAGCATGATTCAAGTAAATGTTTACCCAGCCAATGTAAGGGTAATTGAAGTCACCCAGTATCACAACATTGTCTGCTTTAGTCACCTCGTTTAAGTTTGGGGTTTTACTTCTTTTACTGTGTACTGGTCAATGACTGTAATAAATTTACTTACTAGACACCTCCTTTATGTCCTTCTCCATTGCAAGATCAGCCTCAAGCATTTGAGCAAGTGGGAGTTAAACTCTGCGCCCCCACACTTTTAAGAAACCCTTAGGGTCCAGTATTTCCGCACATTGCTTCTGTTGGGGAGTTCATTCCCCTAATGTTTTGTAACTTACTTAACTCTAAGCCCTCTTTGATATACAGCCCAATGCCTCACCCCAACCCATCTCTCCCTGTCCTACCTGTAGAGCTTTTGCCCAGGAAAGAACATATCCTATACATTTTCCCCATTCTGCCATGTTTCTGAGATACTTACTATATCTAAATCGCCATTTAGCACCAATCACTCCAGTTCCCCACCTTTAGGCATTTTAGAATTCCCAAGAGCTCTCCCATCCCAATACACAACAATGAACTAACTATGCAGAAGCCAGACACAGCCCCTGCTCTAAGCACAGTGTTTAGAATTAGACTAAAGCCTAGGACAATGGGGTTCAAATCCCTATTCAGGAAGCTCATTGCGTGACCCTGGGCCCGTTACACTCTCTCAGCCTAACCTACCCCCCAAGATGAATGAAATGGAAGAGGGGAGAAACAACATGACAAGCCACTTTGGTGCCCACTTAGGGAGAAACATGGGATATAAATAAATAAAGGGGGGATTAATGCTGATGGTAAACATGTTAATGAGTGCTTTCATCTTCCAACAATTAAAATGTTACTCAAGCAAAATTGCTGGAGAGGAACTCAGAGGAACACACATAAGAAGACAGGGTCAGGCCTTTCGTTCCCTGAACTCCAGAGGACTGTCAACTAATGTGCATATAGTTCAGACCTACTCCAGTTAAAATTGATTTAACTGCAGCTTTTTGTTAGGGATGGGGCGACTGTTAAGAATGACAGCTGTTCTCTATGCCAAGCTGTGAGGTCTAATAAGAGTCTCAAAGAGAGACTGCTAACAAAGGGGAGACAGGCTCCCATCTTCCCCCACTAGCAGAATGCATGAGACCTTGTCTTCAGACACTGCTGGCAGTACTGATCTGGTGATCTTATCTATGGATTTATCTGCAGTGGTAACCAAGGCAAGGTCAGAGGTTGTGCTGTCAGGACTGCATTCTGGGGCAAAAGTAAAGAGCCCTCAAGTATACAAGACTGTTAAGACCTAATCATGCTGCTGAGATTAGGCATTTTACAGGGGTCATTTTGTAGAAAAAGAGCTGCAGGAGCTCATTAGCATAACTTATTAGCAT